GCTCCGGCGATCCTTCCGCCTCAGCCTTCCAAGTAGCCAGAATTATAGGTATGCGCTACCGCGCCCGGCTGATTTTTTTGATTTATTGTAGAGATGAGGTCTCGCCTGCCCAGGCGGGTCTCAAACCCACGTGCTCAGGCAATCCACTTACCTCAGCCTCCCAAAGGCGTGGGATTACAGGCTGAGCCACTGAGCCCGGCTCTCCCGATACTTTATTATGGTTTAGTCTCTATCTTGGCAAGAAAAAAGGCTTCCTTTTTTGGAAACATTTGGAGTGGCAATCAGGGGATTTACTTTTGCTGGCGTGGGGGCGGGAAGGGGGAAATAGTAACCGCTCCTGTGCCTTCAGGACATCCTGGAGGCAGGCAGAGTCCCTAGGGCGCAGGGTATTGGAAGCAGGACCTAGGCTCCAAATGAGTGGCCTGCATCCACAATCACAAATTAGTGGCCACCTGAGTTGGCCTTGAGGGGATGGGACAAAGAGCTCCAGGTGTATGTGGTGAGTACCACAGCAGTCCTCAGTCCTCAGCCCAAGGATTTCTCCAGGGATTAGGTTCTGGCATCTGGGGGCGTCACCTCCCTCTCTGTGGTCACCCACTTTGGAAATGAGACCTGGGCCTAAGAGCTGGGCCAGGCTCCAGCTAGTAGAGAGCTGGGGACAGGGACACCATGTAGGACCTGGAACTGTGTGAAACCAGGTTCGGCCTGACGTGGGGCAAGGTTCTGGAGGGCAGGCTCAGGTGCTCCTCCCCTTCTGAGCTTCAGGGTCCTCACTTTCTTGAGCTCCTGGCGGGGCCCTCACTTCTTCGTCTCCCCGCTCTGCCTCCTGAGGGGGCTGCTGGTCCCTGGCCCAGAACCGATGAGTGGTAAGAGACCGCTAGTTGGTTGATTAACTGAAAGCAGAGACAAGGACGTAAGCTGACAAGGCCCTTATGTCCAAAAACACACAAGCTTGACAAGGTCCTTGTGTTCCTGGCCTGGCTCCAACAAGAGCTTGACCGGTACTTCCTTCTTTGATGTTTGCACCTGAGAGCGTTGATTTACTAGAAATCAGTTAGTGTGACCTCTAGTCTGCGTAGTCTGGATGTGGCCTGCCTTGATCGTAACTGTACTTATTAGAGTTTTTAGAAAACACAAGTGTTAGTGGTTTTACTTTAAATCACTAATAACATGGACGTTAGTGCTATGGTAATCTTGCCGAGAAAGTCACAAGCATTAACCTATTTCCTGCTGCTAGCATTAAGATATTTCCCGTTTATGTAGTTTGGCCCAATATGACGGGCATGCTGTGAGAATAAAATTGCTCCCACCTATTCAGGCGAGAGGCCTCCCAATCCCGTTGTTCTTTGTCTTTCTTTTCTCATTCCCTCCCCCCACCTCAGGCCCTGCTCTCTGGAGGCTGGACCTCTGCAAGCAGGGATTGAGGCTAGATAGCCAGGAGGGGGCTGACGGAGGATGCAGTACCAGCCAAACTCCTGGTCTTGTGGTCCTGGATATGGGGCCTCCATTTCCTTTGCTGTGAACCCACCTTCATTCCTGCTGTGACCCCAGGTGTTTCTGGGCACTCCTCTCCTAGTTTCCTCGTTACTGCACTCACTGCATCCCCAGCACCACCGGTGGCCATCCTCCCTGTCCCAGAGGGCAGGGGCCGGGTGGGGAAGGGGGCTGCAGGCCCGTAACTGGTGCCTTCTCCCAGCTGGGCTTTGTGGCACGAGCTGCGGGAACAGAGACAGGTGGGAAACATTGCTCTGTCCTCCATGCGGCCGCACCGCAGAGAAAGCACATCCTCTGCTGCTTCCGCCCTGATGGTCACCACATCCCGGAGACAACCCAGAAGGGGAACCTGAGGGTTTAGTCGACATTTGCGGAGGACCTGCTACCTCTTGGGCTCACCTCTGTGACAGAACAGAACCATAAATGGCCCCGACACCTGAGTCGGTCCTCAGATCTGCCGTCCATCTGACAAGCAAGGGTGGTAGCCAGGACAGGTCCCACCCGGCTGTGTCCTGCGTGGAGCCTAGACCTTTGCCTGGCGCCCCCTGGTGACCAGCTGTAGCCTCTGCAGGCCAAACCCGAGGCCGCCCGGGACCAGCCATGGGCACACCACTCTTGTTTTGCAAAGCAGAAGACCTTGGTCCAGGGGCCGGCAGGGCTTGTTGTGACAGAACACCCATAATCGCTTTGTGGAATGTGCGTTGTGGTTGGGTAAAGCGCTGTTGCACTTCTCATTTCCAGAGTCAGTTCCAGAATCCGTCAAGGCAGAACACCGATGTCCACAGAGCCTCCCTTCATCAGCCCTCTCCTGAGAGAAGGCCCGTGAGTCCATTTGACAGCGAGGAAAAGTGAGGCTTGGAGAGGCTGAAGGAATCACTTTCCAGGTTTGGGGCCAGGACTTGGACCCCGGCCTGTCTGACCTCTGAGTCCACCGTGCCAGACCCCGGGGTATTCCCTCCAGACCTCTCTCCCCACCAATCCCGCCGCCCCAGTTGCTCAGTGTCCTGATCTTGGACAGCAGAACGTCAGCGGTGAAGGTTCTTTTCTCCCTACTCAGGCGTCTGCGTGTCATTCAGACACTGCCTGGTATAGCTCCTTGGCCTGAGCTGTAGGGGTTGGGGATGGGGGGCTGGAAGGGACCCTGGGCAGGGAAAAGCCTCGGAGACTTCTGGTGCGGATACACTGGTGGGGTTGAGAGTCTAAGTCGGAAATTGAGGCCCAGGTGGCTGTGAGATCTCGGGCAAGTTAGTGTCTTTGCCTCTGGGAACCTCAGGTTTCTCAGCCAAAAAGAGGGAAATTGGAGCAATGCTTTGATAGCCCCACCCAGAAAAGAAGAGTCCAGGCTTGGATTAGACTCTGGAGTTAGACCTGGGTTCAAAGCTGGGATCTCCACGGACTCGCCGTGGGTCCGGGGCTGGCTGCTCCCCAGCTCTGGGCAGATTTCCACCTCTGAATCCGTAAAATGGGTCGTTGTGGAGGCTCAGCAGGTGACTCAGCTGAGAGCACTCCGGAAACCTTGAGGCTTGATCACTCCCCAGGATGGGGGCTCTGGGATGGGAGGGGAAGCCGGCACCCCCACATCCCCACATCCCCCGAGCCCAGGCACACCAGTTCTCATTCCATGTCCTCCAAACCCACGGCGGCTTCTCCATGCCTGGGACCCTGCTTCTTTCCGTGTTGCCTGAGGGCCTGAGCCCCTTGCCTGCTCCCACCTGGGTCTAGTGACAAACTGGGGAGGAAGGTCTGAGTCCCTGTCTCCACCCAGGCCTCCACCCCAGCTTCAGTCTTCCACCCAGAGGGAACCCGGGATGATTTGGGTTGGTCCTTTGGAGGCAGGAGGGGCCATACCAAGGCCTGGGACCAAAACAGTTCAGTCACCAAAAAGCCTCATGGCCCCGCCTTTCTTGAGCCAAGCCTGCTCTGGTGCCCAAAGGGAAGGGGCGTCAGGGACGGGGCCCACAGACACTGATTGTGGTCCAGTCGCATCCATCACACGGCTGTGCTGGCACCCACAGTGCTGAGCTGTCCTCCTCCCATCCCTGACTCCAACACTGGTCTTGTGGGCACCAGGGAGACAGTGGGAAGGGGGTGGGGAGCAGAGAGGGAGAGCTGTGACAGGAGGCGGGGACTCTGGGGGGCTGGGAGCTATAAAGGGGCAGGGCCAGGGGGGTGCCCATCCGGCCTGAGGCAGTGCCCACTCGGTCCAGTGCCCGCCACTCTGGACTCAGGGTAAGTGGGCTCAGCCTGCCCTGGGCTCTGGGGCCTCCTTGGGGCAGGGGCACAGGGAGGGAACAGGTGCCTGGCAGGTTGCTGCCCCAGAGGCCTGAAGTCCTGCGTGGGTCTCGCTCTGCCTCCAGAAGACCCTCTGCTGACGGGGTGTGCACCTGTGTGTGTGGCTGTGAACTGGAACGTGTGACCGGGACCTCATGTGCCGGGATCCCTGTGGCGCCTGTGCCAGTCTTCACAGGGTGACAGGACAGCAATGTCCTCTTCAGGACTCACATCTGCGCCTCTACCTGGGCAGGGAGGCCAGATCCGCCAGGCCATAGATTTCAGTCCTTTGCTCTCAAGCTCACTCTGTGGCCCCCATCCGTGGCTGGGGGGCTACTTCCCATTGGCCCCTTCCCTCGAAGCCCCATCCCACTCCTACCTCCTCGGAGCTGCCAAACCCAGGATGTCCGAGTCCTGCTGGGCTGCACACTAGTTGAGGTCTTCTGTGCCCTCCAGAGCAGTGTCTAGGAGGTTCGTTGTCAGCTCTGAGTGGCCACTGCTCTGCCCCTTGTCTCCAGGCTTGGAGAGATGGGTGATGGGCTGAGGGCTGGTCAGGTGGGCCCCACTTCCCGGGCCCAGGAGGACTCCTTGCTCCTCAGATGGCTGCGGTGCACGGCTGCCTGTCCCTGCTGCTGCTGTCCACCTGTGTGGCTCTGCTGCTGTGGCCACCGCCAGGTGCCCGGGGGGCCCCACTGGAGCCGGTGTACCCAGGGGACGACGCCACGCCAGAGCAGATGGCCCAGTACGCGGCCGAGCTCCGCAGATACATTAACATGCTGACGAGACCCAGGTGCGTGTAGAGGGGGGAGACCCAGTCCTGGGGACCCTGGGCCCACTCCGCATTCCTGGCCACACCCCGGTCCCAGCCTCAGTCCCATCCACGCCACTCTTGGAAGAACAGAGCATCTTGACCAGGCACCCCCACAGGACGGTGCCTGAGGGCAGGGGGTCTCAGTGCTCTGGTACAGTGCTCACCCCAGATGCCTCTTCCCTCCCAGGTATGGGAAGAGAGACAGAGAGGACATGGCCTTCTTGGAGTGGGGGTCCCCGCACGCAGCTGCCCCCAGGTGAGTTTGGTGTCCTGCCTGGGGCCGACATGGGGGAGCTGAATCAGAACCTGAGAAGGAGTGGGGCGGGGGAGGGAGAACAGGACCCAGGGCTGGCCTGAGGCCCACGGAGGGACGAGCCCTGTCCCCACATGGCAGTGTGGCGCCCTGTCCCCACAGGGAGCTCGGCCCCAAGGACCTGTAGTGCTGCCTCCTGGCCTCCAGGGCGGCGCCAGCCCGCCTCCCTCCGCACCCCTGGCTCTGGACAGCTCCCGCCCGCGCTCCACACAGGCTCAATAAAGCAAGTCAAAGTCACAGTTTCTCTCTGTGTCTCTGGGGGCCCCAGTGGGGACAGGAGCAGGCCAAACACACAGAAGAGAAGGAGGTGGGGAAGGAGGCGGGGAAGGGGCTGTCGTCAGTGATCCAGAGCGTCTATAGGCCTCAGAGCCACCCAGAGCACGCTCTGCCCTCCACAGAGGGACAGGTGGCCCGAAGGAAGGCAGGGGCTCCCCTGCAGTCGTTCAGCAAGTCTGAGAGGTCGCCTGGAACTTGAAGCTTCCTGCTTCAGCCACCTCCAGACCTTCCCGATCACAGGCCAAAGATAACCCTGCCCCCAAACGAACCCCTCACTGATGCTTTCCTGGAGCCTCAGCGGTAGTACTAATTTATACCAAAGTGTCCTGGGGCCTGTAATCCCAGTGCTTTGGGAGGCTGGGGTGGGAGGATCGCTTGAGGCCAGGAGTTCAAGACCAGCTTGGGCAACACAGTGAGACCCTGTCTCTACAAATAAATAAAATACAATAACCGGATGTGGTGGGAACTTGTCTGTAATCCCGGCTACCGAGGCTGAGGTGGGAGGATGGCTTGAGCCCAGGAGGTCACAGCTGCAGTGAGCTATGATCTCGCCATGGCACTCCAGTCTGGATAACACAGCTTGACCTTGTCTTACAAAAAAAAAAAAAGTCCTGGGCACAGGGGCATGAGTACCAGCCCAGCCCAGGTGGATAACTGTGGTGCCAAGGAAGTCATGCTGGATTGGCAGCCTCATATCTGCCCTCCAGAAACTTGGAGAGACTGGGCTGTCATGAGAGGTAGTGAACTCCTGGGCACTAGAGGTGTTCAAGTTGCGGCAGGAGGGAAGGGGTTAGATGAGGTGAGAATTCCAGCCACATGACGAGTCCAGCTGTGGGCTTCATGCTCCAGCTCTGGGAGGGTGAGGACCAGGATCCTGCCTCGGGGCCTGCCCTGAGGAGTCCCAGTGGCCTGTCCTGCCTTTCCTAGGCACCCTGAAAAGGAGGGTGTGTGTGTGTGTGTGTGTGTGTGTGAAGGAGAGAAGTGAGAATTGGAACCATTCTGGTCCCAGGAATGACTTCTCCTGCCTCCCCAACAAGCTCGGCCTGCAGGGATGGGGTCTGTGGTTTGACGGATGAGGGGGACTTTTCTGGGCTCAGCACCTCACACTGACCCCGTGACAATGACACTAAAATCCTTGTACAAATGATCCAGAAGTGGAACCAGACACTGAAAGGCAAGGGCTTCTAGAGGAAGTTGTTTTCTGGCTCAGGGGGATTCTTCAGTCCACGGGATGTCTGGCTGTAGAGCTGGTTTCAGGGAACAGAGTTCGAGTTTGCATGCAGAGCCTGAAGTCCAAGCACCTTCCCGGGTTGCTTAGGCATGCCTGCTTCCCAAGGCAGGAGTGAGGACCTCGCTGAAGGTGCACCTGGGTGTGAGGGCTGGATCACAGAGAGACCTCTGCCTCTGCCCAGGCCTCTCTGATGGCCGTGGGGATCCCCACAGAAGAGTGTCACCCTCACACCCAGTTTCCCAGGGACAGGCTCTGGCTAGGCCCCACCCCTCCCCTTGTTCTGCTCACCAGCAGAGGGACTGAGAAGCCAGGAGGCAGGCGCACCTGTTGTTCCTTTGCGGGCACTGACAGCCCAGGCTGGGATTGGACTTGGGCCCGTGGAGAAGGGGGGTGTGTCCACCTAAAGCCCCTTCTTTGAGGTTATAGGTGTCTCATCTCTGCTCTCCCGGATTAGAGCCGCCACCTTGGTGGTGGTGTCCGTGGGTGAGGTGGGAGTTGAATGGGTTTTGAGAGGCAGGGAAGCCCCCCCTCCGTTGAGGTCTTTTATCCCACAGTGGGAACACCAGGGTCCCCTTTCCTCCTCGAAAGGCAAGTCCCTCCCTGGGCTGCGCCCACACAAGTGGCAGAAGTAACAGAGGCTGTTTCTCTTTATTGTTTTCACTGAAGGGGTGGGGAGGGTTGAGGCCCCTCTCAAAACATAAAGGGGTTGGCGGGCAGCCGGGCTCCTGGAGGTCAAGGCCCGCCTGGAGAAGGAAGTCCCCGGGGCGCTGGTATCCCCCCAGCTCTCAGCCCAGTTGCCCCCAGTCCCGAGGCTGCGACCCGGTGCCCGCAGAGTCCAGGCTCTCCTACCTGGGACTCCGGGAGGTGGGCGGTGGGGGGTCACGCCGGTTCAGTGATTGGGGTTTCGCGGTGGTCCGTGGTAGGGACTTCGTGGCTTTTGGTGGGGAGGTGTTCGTGGCGTTCGCGATTTTCTTGTGGTTTTTAGAGCTCTTCAAGCTGGGGACACGCCACTGCAGCGGTCATGGGGCCGCCCCCGGAGCCCAGCTAGAGCCGCGATGGGCGTGGGGCTGCCTGGGGGCACAGGGGGCGCCAGGCGCGGGAGCCCCCGGGCGG